CTGCATCCAGGGGATCCCTTAGTTCTTTAAACCTCTGCAGACTGGCAAAGGTGACGGCCCATCTAGTGCCGGTTTCAAAACCCCAAAACTCTGATTTGAGAAACCCATGATTGCTCATGATCGAGTGCAGACGTTCTCCAACTGACCTTAAAGGTTGACACTTGCAGCGAGGTTTTGGCCCCCATCCCTGATCAAATCTGCAACTCTGCCGTGATATTTCTAGATATCATCTTCTGCTGTCTGTCGCAGAAAACTGTTGCACATCTAAACGGACGGTAATAGAGTTTTAAATTGCGCCCAAAGATTGGCGTGATATTTCAGACACAGTTGTCCGTAAGCAACAAGAAGACGCTCCTTTTTGATGAAGCATCAGTGAAATGTTGTAACTGCAGTTTAAAAAGGACAAACGCACCAGTGCTCATCACCTCCACATGAATTCACGTCACGCTTTCAGTCGGAGATTCAGACCTGAATGGTTCAGACTCCTGCGTCTCTTCAGTTTCCAGGCCTGTTAGTGAGAAAATGTCCCTCTTTGTGCAGATTCCATGTGAAATGAAGAGGTAAGAGGTGACGTCCACAGCAGCCTGACTCACATCCGAGTTTTTACTTTTCCTGGCAGTGAAGTCAATTAAAGTCTATCTGAACCATCATTTCCTGCATGTTCCTGCTCGGCAGAATGAGATATGACTGCGTTTTCAGAGTGGAGTTTCTCTGATGGAGTGTGGAAAGAGTTTTTACAGAGGACCAGACATCCACTGAACCAGACTGTTCGTCTGCAGAGTAAAGAAGAGCTTCAAAATGAAGCTGCAACTCTGGAAAGGCAGATAGCGACTTAAATCATTTCACTGGTACTGGCTCATTTTTCTGTCTGTTTGCGCATGTTTTATAAACATGTGTGCTTAATTAACTCTGCATATTGGATGTATTTGAACAGACGATGTATTTACAAGCCTTTCCACCTCCATGTGGGATTCTCAGACTATAAACTCTCCAGCTGGACAGCCAGGACATACAGCTGCTGTCTGTTTTAGTGCAGGGCTGTATTTGCTGCAGCAGTAAAGTGTTGGACTGCGAGAAGTCGGTGTCAAAGCGAGACGGGAGATGCTAGTTAACCTGCCATGATGAACTGCCTCAGTGCCATTTGTCCTGCAGCAGACTGTGAAGCTCGGCTCGCTCCTGGAGGCAGGGGAAGAAAAAAAAAAGAGGAGAAAGTCACTCAGACAGCGCTAAATAGTGTAGAAGGTCAGATTGATTTCAAACATACATCACTATTACCAACAGGAGAAGTGGAGCTCAAGCAGCCCTCAGCACTTTCTGAGGAGCAGGATTTTCACAAATCACAGCGCACACTCCACCGTGAGGCCGATTAAACAGCAATTTATGGATAACAGAGTGAAGTTAATGAAGAAGACGGTCTGAGCCGCCATTACAACCCTACGATGACAACCATACGAAACACACAAGGCCCAAAGAACGTTAACCGTGTAAAACATTTGGTGAATTTTCTCCAAACTCTGCAGCTGGTAGACCATGGATTTTTGTTTTGGGCATCTTAACCAATCAAAGGCTGTATATAGAGTCAGCTGACCCGACAGGCCCAATAAGAAGTGGCAGAAATGATATAAGACACATGTGGAGTAAATAAGAGTGAAGCATAAAACAGTGGTGATGAGATAAGTCCATGTCACATGTCTTTAAAAATGCGGTATTACCTACGACACATTAAAACATCTCAATGAGTTGGAAAGGATTAAAATTAATACGGTGAATCATATTTTCTGCACAATTTAAAAGCTCCATATGTCCAACACGTCAGCAGAATAGATCTTTTCTTTAGACTCAGTGATGTTCAGAGGAGCGAGGATAAAGCAGCGAGGAAAACGATCTTTTTACTCACACAGCTGGTTTGATTTGACCTCCTTCATCAGCGTGATTGATTCACTCAAACTTCTGCTCGGCTTTAAACAACTCTAAATGTTTGTTTTCTGATCATGTTGATCTGATTTCATGAAATTTGACTCAACTGCCTCTTGTTGTTTCCTCGCAGTGTGAATGTTTGAGTACTTTGAACTTTGCTGAACTTAAGCACCAATTAGAGAAATGCCGTCCTCCTCCACGGCTCTAAAATCATGTAAACCCCGAAGAGTGACTGATTCAGGTTTTCAGGTTATTTTGTCACTGAGGCCAAACCCTGGGATTAAAAATAAAGTTGGACCCAAATTAGACCTTTAAACTGGAAATTAGATCGTAAAAACTTTTACTCACAAACAGGTTAATAAGGGGTCGAGTGCCAAAACTGATGCAACAGGAATTCAGCGGCTAAAACATGCCCCACAATGACATTAGATTAAAAAAACACACACACAAATGATATTTTGTTGGTCTCCAAAGACCCCCATGATATCTTCAGACTTGGGGGTCCTCAACACTTTTTCCAGACCCTTTCTTAGTTATTCTTTATGTGTAAGAAACAGTCAGTGCGTTTACATGCACAGCTTAATTGGACTAAGCTCATAATTCGTTTTCTTTTTGCAGAATCAGACTTTTCTCCTTTTCCTTGTTTTTGTCATACATGATGTACGCACTTCTTTTTCTGCAGATGTGATGCACGCTACTTCTCTTCTCTAGTGTTTTTGTTACGGAATCGGAGTTCTCCGACTCCAATCAGAGTTCTCAAACTCCGATTATAGTCAATTATAGGACAATTATAGGACTACGGTGTTTACATGCACTTCAGTTGTCCGGTCTTAATCGGAGTAAAGCGATAATCTGGTTTTCTCAAGTGTCATGTAAACGTACTGACTGTGATGTGCTTGTTATGGTGTGGCCGCCTATGCAAACAAATTATTACCCCTGAAAAAAGGGAATGATATGAAGTTCTTGTTATTATTATTATGATTATCATTGTTATTATTATTGAGACAAAAATACGAAATAAAAAGATTGTCAGTGACTCCGGAAGCTCGAGTCTAAATCAAGTTTTAAGAGTTTGAGTGTTGAATCCAGGTCGGTTAAAACTTCAGCACCATGGACAGAGGTGCTGTCTCCCTTTCAACTATAGACTGTATACAGTGCAAACAACTTGGCTCCGCCTCCTGTCATTATACGAATTCAAAGCCGAATTGCTCTCTGTAGTTCTAGGATTTTCTCCAGAGTAATGCCATTTAAATTGTTTTAACATATTAAGTTTTTGCCTAACTGTTGTCATTTTTATTTTTGTTTCTTTGGCTTCATTTTAAATTTCAAAAACTTTATATAAAACCTTTCATACTTCCTATTAAACATCTTTAATTCTTGGTAATCCACGCAGCTTTTTCACTCATTAGTAAGAGCTGTTATTGCACTAAAAGAGTGTTTCTTTGGTACATTGTCAATCGCATTTCAAACTCTGCTCAAATACAGGTCAGCAGAGGAAAAAAAAAGAGGAAAAATAAGAAAATCGGACTCCAGAAAAGTTAATTGTGCATTTGCTTCTCTATTCCGGCCTGCAGAACACCAACCGGTAACAAATGAGAAAAAGTTTGGTAACTCCGGGGGCAAACACACATTTCCTGAGTGACAATTTGTCATTTAATTAGCCAGCGCAGAAAAGCAGCAGGAGAGTCAGCCGTCTTGGCGGAGCCATCCATCATGAAAATATGCCATCAGTATTGTGTTACCACAATCATTCTGTGCAGACAGACACTGGGAACACAATGAGCCACCTCGCACGTCTCTCTGCCTCCGTCTCCACAGCAGAGATGAAGCAAAGGTTGTCCCACTGCTTCCTGTTGCCATTTAGAAGACATCTATTATGGATATGTCACAGCGTGCAGGGCCGGGCTCCCACCAAGAACCTCCAGCAAGCAGACAGAAATGAACTTTGTTGCAGCGTTTTTTTTCCACCTCCGCTGTCACACTTCTTATCTAATAAAGTCGAACTGACGTGAAAAACAACCTTTAATAACACAAGTGACCTTTCAGCGGGTAAGTGTGTGAGAGTGTGGGTGTGTAGTGGGAGATGGTGGCTGAAAGTTGTTAGGATCATGAGCTCAAGTGGCTTTTTCATTTGCCTGCATGGATGTACAGGAACTCGTTGGGAGAGTGCAGGTACGAGAACAGAGAGTGAAAATACAGGATTTCATGTGAAGTGATCTTTTTTACATCTCCATAATGAATTCTCTGAAAAAATGAATGAAGTTTGGTGTTAAAATGGGGCTCAGGCAGCTGAATGAGGTTTCCTGTAATGCTGCCCAGTAACCTTTATACTATATGATATACATAAAGTAATATGTGCAGATCTCTTTAACAGAAAGGCCAGATTAACACCTCGACTCTTCAGTCTGTTGTACCTGACCAGACTCGGCTTTGGCATTGTCCTGTTCAACTACGGAAAGGTCATTGTTGGTACAGAAACGCAAGCATCCCCAGGAGACATGTGGCGTCCATGATTTCCAAAAAGAAGATATATTTTTTGACAATTTTCAAAGTGATTTTGACCCTATGTAGTGACTTCCACTTCAGATTCATGTCTGTATGTATGTAGTAGGGCCCAGGCCAATTTTAGCCCGTTTGAGACTAATTGGTAATCGGCCAAAACTTGCCAATTTTCACTGATATCTTCAGAAATAAAATGTGGAGAATAAGATTCAGTTTCACTTCAAAAATGTTCCACCATCTGAAAAGTTCCCCGACTTATCCTGTAGATGGCGCAGTGACCTCATAACTACCTCACAGCACAGCAGAGTGACAGATCTGAAGCAGCAGCTGAGGGACGCATGGAGGAGAGTGGTCCACCTCAACGGGAAATAAACCAGTTTGTGAAAAACACAATAAGTCAACAAGTTTCAGTTCAACCCACTTCACCATGTTCCCCGCTGTGCTGGTCTCGGTCACGCCGAGTTAACGATGAAGCACCATGTAATATGCAAGCTAAAGTTAGAGTTAGCCACCTGCTATTAGCCTTGCTACACTGTTAGCCGTGGCAGTAACAGTAGAATAAACAACAGTACACATTAGTGATCAAGCTACTTCTCTTACTGAGGCAGCTGCATGTCTCCAGATGAGACCGGACCGGAAATGAGGAACGTGAGTTAAGGCGCGGAGACACCGATCGGGGCTGGGGGTGGGGGCGTAGTTGAAAACGCTTTTCTGGTCTGAGTTTGATCAGTGGGTCATCCTGCCGGCGTGAAGAGCAGTAGCCTACAGTATATTTACAGTATATATTTTTTATAACTTCATTAAAAAATTTTCCTCCTCTTGGTGAAGTGACGGTGGCCTTAGAGAACAAAAAGGTACTGCAATTCATGATCAGTATGAACAAACATTTGTTAAGATTTAATTATTGGAAATGCATACCGATATGAATCATTCAGAGCACAACAACGACTCCTCTGTTCTTGCGTTTTTCGGTTCGAGATTGCATATGGCGTGTTGTTTGTCCATTCTGTGCTGCTGTAGAAAGGTGGCGGTTCAAGATGGAGGGTGACCTGCCCCTGTGGATCAGAAAGGAATAATATGATTGTTGTATAAAGGTGACTTTATGAATACACCTTTAAAAAAAGGGCCTGTATGTCATATTTTGGTGCTCCTCTACCTCAAAAATCCGTTGAAGCTCCAGCCTGAGACCTGGACAGAAACCAAATATTCAATCACAAGATATTTATCTCATTAGCTGTTAGATCTTCAACTTTTGTCTCCGGCGGGAGGCTAATATGTCCGCTACCTGGAGCTACAAGAAGCATGCAGCGGTATCATGCTGACAAACAGGGTCCCATTACTGCTGCAAACAAATTTAGTCGATGAAACACAAGAGAGCAAAGAGCAATAAGCAAAATGAGGCCAAACAGCGAAATTATTCACCTCACAAACGATTCGATGCGTAAGAAAGATCATTTTCTGGAGGCTCTGGAGCAGCAGTTTGTGGTAATTATGCGGTTATAAGTGGACATAAAATACAGCATGCAGCCAAAACAACATTTCCTCATGATGGAAGGAGAAAATTAGAGGGAAATGAACAAATTTCCTCTTGTCTCACTTCCTCCCACTTACGCAGCATGTGGCTTCACTTCCTTTGTTTACTGAATAAATCTCATTTTGTTTTTGCCCTCCCTTCAGGAGGCCGTTACATGCATTTCTGGCTTTGATGAAGTGATTAGCAACATGCTGTTACCTCCAATGACCAGCTTCAAGGAGAGGAAGAATAAGCATGAAAGAGCCTCTGCAGGATGGAGAGGGAGCCATAGAAATAAAGCTCAGCGGTGGGAGGAAACTGTACAAATTAAACACAGAAGGAAAACAAAGAGCCCGAGTTTGGTGTTTATGTCTCTTACAGTTACTCAAAACCTTGAGGAAATAACTGCACCACGCTGATCTGCCAATGTGAGACTGTATAAGTACTGTTAAATGACCCTGAGAGATATTTATGTCTCTTAATTCAGCTCGGCTTGTAATGCTGCTAATAAAAGTACGGAGCGATTAACAGCCGCAGACTAAGAGATAAAGAGAGAGACGGATAACGTAGGACCGTGGCAGTAAGCTAATTCTCACTACAAAAGTGGAGTATGTGGTTTTATTGCACAAGTCTATTCATCTTTAAATAATTATAACTGGCATTACTTTTCTTGTTTACTAATAACAGCGGTTTCTGTCAGCGGACAACATCTGCACTCAGGTAGTTAATGACAGTCGTCCCAAAGTGGCGTTAACACCAAGCGTGAGTAAAATCATTCACGCGAACGAATTCCATGTTAAGTTAATACAAAGACGCTCGTACTTCTCTGGCGGCGTGAATGACACGAACTGGGTGGTGCGAATAGAGCGAATTTATCGCGCGAATTGAGCGAGTTGTTCACACGAATTGAGTGGACACGAATATGCAGGAGTTGAAGATATCCCAACTTGAGCAGATATTCGCAGCTGTTACAGACGGAGGTAGTCTGTGACCCCTAGCACACCTAACGAGCCTCTCACTCAGCTCACCTGTCCCCATTGCAGTCAGCTGGTGCTCATCAGCCTTGGGTCGTCTATAGAAGGAGGTTGTTTCACTCAGTAGGTGTGTGACAGCAAAGATGCAACACCTTCAGTTGGTTTCTCTTGGTTTGTGTGATGAATGTTTGTGAGAGTGATTGAGTTTTGAGGGAAGGAGGGTAAATTCTAGAGTTTTTGATCTATAAGGAGATTTTTTTGAACTTAGTGTTTCCCTCCTCACTGATTCTACCTCTGTTTACTTTGGTTTGCCGACTTTTGGGCAAAATTAGTGGGTGGCTGTGGGGAAGCATAATTCACTTAATCTTTTAGAACCCAAAGGCCTATTTTTTGTTTTGTTTGAAGGAGCAGATTTTCCTTTTGTTACAACCCCTCTCCGTGACCCCTGTCCTTCACGTCATGGGACTTGCAGAAACATAACACATCGTGACAACCAATCAGCATGAAGATTCCCGGGTGACGTATGAAAACGGACCTGAAGATGTTCAGCGGTGGGAAAATACAAACACAAATCCTTTTACTCACAGTAGACAGATGTAATCGGTATCCTGAAGGGATGTCCTGGCACCGACCCTCACCAACAGGTAATCAAATTGGGTTCCAGTAACCCGAAAATACCGCTGGGAACGGCCGTCATCTGGGCACAGCTATTGAAGGAGACCCAGACATGGTGGCGCCTACATCTTCGACAGTTGTGGACCTTCAACAACAAAAACAAATCAGCAATCTGTTGAACGTGGTTCACTCTGACCGTGCTTGATGGAGACTCTACCCCGTCTCGTATCTACGGCTAGCAGTCTGGAGGAAGGTGAGTGAGGAGGTCGTATTATCTTGTAAACTGTGAAAAACTGTTGCCAATTTAACCACTGGGATCAAGTGATAGACAAGGATCACTGTTAAACTTAGCAGAAATGACTATCCATGGCTACTACACACTCTGTTGACGCGCAAACCATCTGCATAAATTAAGCAAGTCGATGATTTTACTCACATTTGGTGTGAACACCCCATAACAGTCCAATTCTACTCAAAGGTTTGATCCCATGAAGAGATTCCGAAATTACTTATAATCTGCAAAGGCTATTCGATCCTGCTCAAGTTGTCTGTGATCCATCTTACTTTGAAAAAATGGGATTCGGATCCTCCTTTCTGGGCGTAGATACTCCCAGGCAATCCAGATCATTTAGCTCAGCAAGAATGAACAAAAGTTTTGACCAATCATAAGTCAGTATATGACTATAAACATTCAGAAGAAGAAGAGCTGCGTGTAAATAAACTTTATGATGGTATGGTTTTCTGATTCCTGATCTCCTCAATGATTTCTTCTTTGCTCTGTCCTGAAATTTACTCACCCTAGACCAGTTACAGCACGAGTCTGCCTTCAGGGATCTCTGCCAGAGAGTCCGGCCTCTTTTTCTTTAAAGGACGTGCCCACACAACCTGATATCATGCAAAAGCACAAGGTTAGGGCACAGAGTTATTGTGGCACTGGTATGATTTTGAGGCTGTTAGTTAGAGGCAGAGTATTTGCATAACTCTGTAGATTATTATCCTGGTTTGATTGTTTTTCTTGCAGAATCTGGAGCTTGTTTGTGGAGCGGGTTTGTTATGCAGCGCACGCTTCGCTCATCAATCTTATTTCAGTGAAGTTTTCTGCCTAACTTTTGTTCCAAGTCTCTCTATAAAAGTCCATTAAGCTACAAAAGCTAGTGGAACAGATGCTAGCTGGGAAAATGGGCGGGACTACAGGGGCACATAACTTAGAGGGTGATGGGCGGCTGTGTCGGGCCTGTGAAGAAGTTGATTTGTTGAAGGCAGAGTGTGCGTCGTTAGAGCGAGCCGGCCGGAGAAAGGCAGCCGGAGAGGGACTTTAAATCTGCAGTAAATCTTGGTCTCTGGCAGCACCTGCCTCTGATGGAGTAAATATTAGACAGTGAATGAATCACCATGAAAGGAGGAACTGTGGGGAGAGCCTTGTTGAATCAGAGCCCCTGGAGAGCCTGAGCAGCCCGCAATCTTCCAGAACAACGGCACACGAATGTAAATCATGTGAAGAGGTAAACATATGACAGGACGGATAACAGCGAGGGAGCCAAAGGAGGGGGGGCTGCTTGGAAATGTCATAACGGTGAAGGCGACAGTTCAGCTCTCCTGCTTGTTTCAGTGTCACATCCACTCATGGGCGTGGAAGTGGGGAGTAAAAGTGCGCCTATGAAATTCTTATTTTCTTTTTTTATGTGATGTTTTTATTTCAAATGAATTGGGCCCTCCAATTAACTGGTGTCATAACTGATTTCAATGATATTGATAACGTCAACTGAGAGAATGAACTTTATGTCAGAGTCCTCCCAACATATTGGACATTCTGGGGGACCCCCTCGCAAAATGGCTTCGTCCGCCTGACAGCGACTGGCAACAAGTGTAACGTCAGTCCCAAAAAGCATAAATCAGGGAATCAGAAGAAGAAGAAAGAGAGGAAAGAAAAAGTAAGGGGGCAGAATGAGGGGAGGCAGCTGTTGACCGCTTTCTTTCCCAAAGGTGAACCCAGTTTGTTTGTTCTGCACAGTCCAGTTAAAGTTAAAGTCATGGTTGACGATTGGAGAGATTGGTAATTACTATGAACCTCGTTTCTATGGCAATCATGGTCCTATAGTTCGAATTCCACAAAGTAAAGGGAAAAAAAAAAAGGAAAAAATCTGTTCACCCTATCAGGTGCAGGGCTGCAAAATCATTGACCAATGGCAACCATCAGTCCTGGACAGCTCTTTCTGCTCCGCCTCTCCATCCAATCACCTCGCTGTATTCGACACACCCCTCTCCCGGCCCTCCTCGGAGCTCTGAGCGGCTAAAAGTAGTGTAGCAGCTTAGCTACAGGAGCTGTGATGGAGAAGGACGCCAAAAAAACACTTCTGCTCGCCCCACCGCCAAAAGTGGGAAGAAAACACAAGCCGACAGAAGAAAGGGCGGAGACGAAGAGGAAATGTGACCAAGCGAGGAATCTAATGTGGATAAACATCGGGTCATCCTTGGAGCGGTGGAGAAAGCTCCGCCAGGATTTGGTCCTGAAAACAGACGCAGAGACAGCAGAGTTTTTGTTGAACAGGTCATTTTTATCTCCTTTTATCGTGGCTCATGTTACATAAATAACTCTGATTAGTCTCTGACATGTCAACACGCTAGCTGTCCAGGCAGCTGCAGACGGCGCTCACTAGCAGAGCTGGCGTTTACTGCTGCTAGTCACTAACAATCCGACATGGTGAATCCTAGTTGAAGCTAGTGTAGGATCTTCTGCCAGAGGGGATGTGTTGTGGAGAGGGAGATACAGGTTTGGGGGGGGAGTTATGGTGGAGCACAGATGGGAGAGGTTTGTGTGTGTGGGGGGGAGTGGGACGCTTTTTTCAACTGCTTCTCAGATCGTCAACCAGGACTTCAACATAGTCCACTTGAGAAACCTGCTGCTGATTTTTGCATGCTAACCTGAGTCTTTAGCTTAACTAGCTGCTAACTAGGCTATTTGGGGCTTTAAGTATGAAGACAGTTATGAGCTAGCTAACGTTAGCTGTCAACATTAACCAGTTTCAGGAACAAACAGTGGCGCTGCAGCAGAGAGAGAGAGAGAATTTATATGTGTTGTATATTTAAATATGTGTGGATATCAGGATAAAAAAGTGGAAGTTTTTCTGTGATCCATGAGGTTTCTATGAGGTGAATAAATGTTGGTTCAGTTGATCTTCAGGACGGCTGTAGCTTTAAGAACTTCTGCTTGTTGGAGTTTGAGAGTCTAAAGTTAACAGAGACACTCCTCTTTCTGGATTGTAGACAAACTGGATAACCCCTCCCAGATCTGATCAGGTGTTCAGTCTGAAGATGGGTGTAACCAACATATACTGAGCTGACACAGGATCAGAGCGCAGACCAGGAAATAAAACTCAGTCAGTTGTCGACAGCGAGTGTTGAAATGGCGCAGAAAGGAGTTCATCTGGACCATGAGCTTTTCTCTTGTTCCATCTGTTTGGATCTCCTGAAGGATCCGGTGACTGTTTCCTGTGGACACAGCTTCTGCATGAGCTGTATTCAAACCTACTGGGATACTGAGGATGAGAAAAAGATCTACAGCTGTCCTCAGTGCAGACGGACCTTCATACCGAGGCCTGTCCTGATGAAAAACACCATGTTAGCAGGTTTAGTGGAGGAGGTGAAGAAGAGTGGACTCCAAGCTGCTCCTGATGGTTCCTCTGAGGCTGGACCTGAAGATGTGGCCTGTGATTCCTGCAGTGGGAGAAAAAAACTGAAAGCTGTCAAGTCCTGTCTTCAATGTCTGGTTTCTTACTGTCAGATTCACCTCCAGCCTCATTTTGAATCACCTTCATTTAAGAAACACAAGCTGGTGGAGCCCTCCAAGAAGCTCCAGGAGAACATCTGCTCTCGTCATGATGAGGTGATGAAGATCTTCTGCCGCACTGATCAGAAGTCTATCTGTTCTCTCTGCTCTGTGGACCAACACAAAGGCCACGACACAGTCTCAGCTGCAGCAGAAAGGACTGAGAGGCAGAAAGATCTGGAGGAGAGTCGAGAAAACATCCAGCAGAGAATCCAGGACAGAGAAGAAGATGTGAAGCTGCTCCAACAGGAGGTGGAGGCTATCAACGGCTCTGCTGATAAAGCTGTGGAGCACAGCCAGGAGATATTCAGCCAGCTGATCCGTCTGATGGAGAAACGCCGCTCTGACGTGGAGCAGCAGGTCAGATCCCAGCAGGAACGTGAAGTGAGTCGAGTCAAAGATCTTCAGGAGAAGCTAGAGCAGGAGATCACTGAGCTGAAGAGGAAAGACGCTGATCTGCAGAAGCTCTCACTCACAGAGGACCACAACCAGTTTCTGCACAGCTACCCCTCACTGTCAGAACCGGGTCAACCTGCAGACTCATCCAGAATCAACATCCGTGCTCTGAGATACTTTGAGGAGGTGACAGCAGCTGTGTCAGAGGTCAGTGATAAACTCCAGGATCTTCTGACAGAGACGTGGACAAACGTCTCACAGGCAGTGACTGAAGTGGATGTTTTACTGTTAGAACCAGCAGAACCCAAGACCAGAGCAGGTTTCTTAAGATATTCACAAAGAATCATATTGGATCCAAACACAGCAAACGAATGTCTGATATTATCTGATGGAAACAGAAGAGGAACATTTACAGGACACCAGTCTTATCCTGATCATCCAGACAGATTCACTTACTGGATTCAGGTCCTGAGTAGAGAGAGTCTGACTGGACGTTGTTACTGGGAGGTGGAGCTGAGAGGGAACTGGGTTTATGTAGCAGTCGCATACAAGACTATCAGCAGAGACGGGGACTCAGAGGATTGTGTATTTGGATTAAATGACAAATCTTGGACGTTATTCTGTTCTAAAGACAGGTATCGATTTGTTCACAACAAAGTCCGCACTTCTGTCTCAGGTCCTCAGTCCTCCAGAGTAGGAGTGTTCCTGGATCACAGAGCAGGTATTCTGTCTTTCTACAGCGTCTCTGAAACCATGACCCTCCTCCACAGAGTCCAGACCACATTCACTGAGCCGCTACATGCTGGACTGTCATTCTGGTCTGATCGAGGCTCTGCTGAATTTATAGAACTGAAATAAAGAGAATTTTGAGTCCATCAGACAAAAATCATGGACTGAGATCCAAACACAGCAAGCAGAGGGCTGATATTATCTGAAGGAAACAGAAGAGCAACATGGACAGAACAACCACAGTCTTATCCTGATCATCCAGACAGATTCACTAATTATCCTCAGGTCCTGAGTAGAGAGAGTCTGACTGGACGTTGTTACTGGGAGGTGGACTGGAGAGGGTACGGGGTTGGTGTAGCAGTCGCATACAAGACTATCAGCAGAGCAGGGAAGTCAGAGGATTGTAAATTTGGAAAAAATTTCTGTCCTTCTACAGCGTCTCTGAAACCATGACTCTCCTCCACAGAGTCCAGACCACATTCACTGAGCCGCTACATGCTGGACTGATACCCTGGAATTTTGGAGCCTCTGCTGAGTTTATAGAAGTGAAATAAAGAGAATTTTGAGTCCATCAGACCAAAATCATGGACTGAGATCCTTGAACTCTTGAAATGTTCTGGTTTGTAAATGTTTGTGGATCAGTCTCACCAAAAACTCTCGGTTTAGTTCTTCATTTAAGCTTTTTCATTCTTTTCTAAAGATGCTGATTTGGTCGCAGCTTCAAGGACAGTGATTGTGGAGAACTTTGATTGTTTGTATTTCTCATGTTGAAAAATCTTCATCAAGTTTGATATCAACAACATCAAGATGATCGTTTGTTCAAATCACCTTCAGTTGGTGCAGATGTTGAAGGTCACAGACTTTAGAAAAAAGTGACGTCAAAATAAGAAACGAAAGATGAAAAAGGACGACCTTATTTCCTGTCCCAAATCCAAGCGTCTAAAGTCTTTCCAGTCGTCCCCAAAAACTCTTCAGATGATCTGTTTCTTTCTCTGTTTGCTGAATATTTGTGTTCATGTGATCGATGGATATTTCTGTCTGCTTCTGTTGGATCAGTGTGTTTGTAAAGACATCTAGAATCAGACTTTGGACAGATCTACATGTTGTTATGAGCTTTTCAATCACTCTAATAATAATAATCACATTTATTAGTCCGACTGTTTTGATGTTTCTGACTCAGCTCAGATTGTGGTCAAGTCTCTGATTGTGGGTGAAAACAATAAAAATCATCAAACTGAGTCACTGAAATCACCTCGTCTGTTTTTCTTGATGGTTTAGTTTGTGTCCTTTAGCCTATCGTCTACGAACACAGCAGAGCTCAAAGTCAAACTCTGTCCTGAAGGTTGATAAATGATCAATCTAGCAATATTTCTGCTGCATCTATCAACATGTCAATAATCTACCAATATCACTGTCGGCTCAAGTTCACACTAGTAATATATTAACTGAGCAATAAAGCAGTTTATTATTTCTGTCTGGTAAAAAGCCTTAACATTGTCATGCAGTGCTGCAGTGCTTAAAAGATATTGTCAATAAATTCATGATGTTATCAAAGCCAATTAATAATCAAGTTAAATAACTGAGAAAGAGAGGTGTAGGTAGTGAGAACAATTAGCTATTAGAACCACTCATCAATATAATCTGATCTGATTGTAGCTTAAAACTACGACAGGGTATTAGGGCCACATTAAGAAAAAAAAAAAGTAGATTTCGAGATTAAAGACGTTAATTTACAAGAATAAAGTCGCAATAAAGTAATCACGAGAATAAAGTCCTATTAAAATCATTATGATAATGTGTTGCTGATGTGCCAAAAGATCAAGTATCTCCTTGTTTGAGAAACATATATCAAAGTATATTTTCACAAAATGCTCCATGGCTCTCATTTCAACAATTGTTATCTTAAACAGCAGGTTAGAATAGAAGGACTTTATTCTGACTTTATTCTCGTTGTGGTTGTTGAAAACACTTTTCTGGTCCAAGTTTGATCAGTCGGTCTTCCTGGCAGCGTGAAGAGCAGTAGCCTACAGTATAACTACAGTGTTTTAAAAATCGGTAATCGGATCTTTTCCCTCCCTAATAATCGGTATCAGCGTCAGCCCCAAAAATTCTATATAGGTTGAGCCCTAATAAAAAAAACCTTTATTTATTCTTTTTTTTTTTTGCTCATGTGCTTCCTGCCCTGGCATGGATAGGGGCCCACTGACATCGAGAATGTACAGGGCCTGGAATTTGGTGCTGCGCCCCTGCATTGAGGAGAGAGAGTGACAGCAGATGCCCGGCTGCAGAAGAAGAGGAACTACACTTGAATCTGCAGACCTAGTATCTCTGCCAGTATGTGCTGCTCCCTGCAGCCTAATGGCTCAGCATAATGACCAGGATGTAAAGAAAGCGTCCGCCACCCACCAAAAGTAATGAGTCAAATATGACCCCCCCTTCCTCGCATCCACGTTCATTCACCCCAAATGAGGGAATCCATTACTGCTGCAGCGTAGCATCGCTAATGCAACTCATGGCAAACGCAACTGCATGCAAATGAAGTGTTGTTCTGCTGCGCTCACACAAACTGACTCTGGTTTGCCTCGAGTCTCAACACTCAGACAAAGAAGAAATCCTCTCTGATGACCTCAAAACAAGAATGAAGTCTCGTCTGGAGAAATCCATTTGAACAACTTTTCCTCCGTTTTTAATTCACAGAAACGTGAAATTTTATAAAAGGTTAAAAGTGTGATCCAATCAAGAACGAGTCAAAGACGGAGATTTCAGAGTCTTACTCAGAGATATTTTTGTACTCCAGTGGTTAGTTAGTACATGTGTGACAGGTTGCTGTGGAAACAACATGCCTGCAGGAAGAGGTAATGCTGTGCAGATGAGTCTCTAATAGCAATGCTCTGCACCAGCGTCCAACATGCTTTTACTACATTTATATGCTGGAAGGACATTATATCTGCAGAAGGGCATGCAGAGGGGACTTTTACTGGATATATAAACTAGGAGGGCATGGACATGGCACTTCTGCTGCATCTTATATACCTGAAGGGCACGTGGAGGGAACTTTTGCAGCAGTATAATATACTGGGAGGGAACCGGGGAGCAGTCTGTCATGATTTATCCTTCACTAAAGTCATTTTTCCTGAATTTTCCAGGGACAGGGCAGCAGATAGGACATTTTATACAGAAAGGCATCCCACCACCCCCACCTCCGCCCCTGAGTTCACCACAGCATTAGCTTTTAAAATGAACGTATTTAAGTGGACTATGTCAAAAGATAACACGATTATCCAGGATTTGAGGTCATTCCTGGATCTTTATCTTTAATGGGTTTGAAGTAAATCTTCTTAAGTAGGGGGGACAGACCACCTGACCTTTATCAGGTTATAATGTTTATGTTAATGAAAACTTTGGACAGATTTAACAGATTCATTGTCTATTTTTTTGCCCAGGCTTTTGTTCAGTTTTTTGGGGGCTGCCATGATTGTTAATGTTGTTGTCTTTTAAATTTTTACGGACATTTTTGCTGTTTGTTTATGTGACGCACTCTGTGGCTTTTTGTCTGTGAAAGGTGCTATATGAATAAAGCTTACTTACCCTGACCAGGGCTGTTCGTTCCCCGTAAAACCAGTACCGGAGCTTGGTCTGCATAGCCAGTAGTAAGTCAGACTCGTTTCCAAGGAGGGTTGGACTCTGCCAGGGCCGCCCTTTGTCACTGATTCTGTTCAGAACTTTTATGGACAGGGTCGGGTTCGGTGACCTCAGGATTAGGTCACTCTATTTGCAGATGATGTGGTCCTGTTGGCTTCATCGGGCCGTGACCTTCAGCTCTCACTGAATTGGTTTGTATGTGAAGCGGCTGGAATGAGAATCAGCACCTCCAAATCTGAGTCCATGGTTCTCAGCTGGAAAAAGGTGGAGTGCCTTCTCCAGGTCGGAGATGAGATCCTGCCCCAAGTAGAGGAGTTCAAGTATCTCGGGGTCTTGTTCATGAGTGAGGGAAGAATGGAGCAGGAGATCAACAGGCGGATCAGTGCCGTGTCAGCACTGATGTGGAGGCTGCACAGATCTGTCATGATGAAGAGGGAGCTGAGCCAAAAGGCAAAGCTCTCGATATACTGGTCGATCTACGTTCTTACCTCCACCTATGGACCCAAGCTCAGGGTCGTGACTGGAAGAACAAGATCGCAAGTACAAGTGGCCAAAATGAGTTTCCTTCACAGGATGGCTGGACTTCGAGAGGAGTCAGATGAGGTGGCTTGGGCATCTAATCAGGATGCCTCTTGCTGGTGAAGTATTCAGGGCACATCCCACCGGTAGGAGACCGCGGGGAAGACCCAGGACACGCTGGAGAGACTACTTCACTCAGCTGGCCTGGGAACACCTCGGGTTCCCACGGGAAGAGCTGGATGAAGTGGCTGGGGAGAGGGAAGTCTGGGCTTCTTCCGGATAAGCGGTTGAAGATGGATGGATGGTTCTTTGTTCGAACCTCGCAGCTCTTTCTGACGATATGGAGACGGATCAGGTCCTAACAGCTCGCAGGAGTTTTCTGTGCATGTTTATTACACTTATTGAAAAGATTGAAGAAGGTGCACTTTCAGATGTATGCCGATAATGAAACCTTACCTTGGAGTAAATCCTCAGATTTCTTTGACCCTCAGAGAAGTTTACTTCCAACATGATAATTGTCTTTGTGATTTTTGTCTTTTTTATATATAGCAACACGAGTCACACAGCGTTTATCTGTTTAATAGCAGCCACAAGAAGCACAATCAACCCAGCAGTCGATTCACATTTTAACTCTGAGAAAAAGAGGAGAATAAAGGAAGACGGCAGCGGGAGGTTGATCCGCGAGAGTTTTAAGTCGTCTGTGCCAACGGGCAGAGATTACCAGATAATGTTTCCATGTACCAGCAGGGAGACGGCGCTTTCTCTGAGCGCAGGACTCTGCTCCGACAAAGTGCCTCTGCTGTAGCTTTGAGGCAGAAACTCACCTGGCTCTGCTGAGAAAACTTGTTTTTTATCAGCGACCCGGCGATTCCTCGTTGGGTCAGGAGCAGTAGACTCACCAGTCTCAGGAATTACACCCCTCTTTTATAACTGTGTGGTGGATAAAAACATGAACAATGGTGAAATATACATGAAAATCTATTAACAAATAAAACAAATAAAACCCTCTGCATGTTGTCGAAGTAGTTTAAATGTAGATAAAGTAACCAGTGGATTACCTCCAAGGGTTAAAGTGTAAACAAAGTGCTTCCTTGCTGCTCTTTCAGTGGACCGAATAAGAAATGCCCCTCTTGAAATCCTTCCAGTGTTTCGAAGATGGAAAAGGTCGCCGTTAGATGTCGTGAAAATGTGACACATTTGTTAAAAAAAACTGGATTCTCAGGATGTGAGTCAAAAACGCTGATTTAGTCAGAGTATCTGCGGGAGTTTTCTGAAACCTGAGCGGGCTCTAAAGAGTTAACGTAATGATCTTGGCCCAGAGGTTCCTATTTCTGTCTGACTGACTCTGTGCAGAAAATAAATGTGGTTTTAAGCCCCAGAGCCCCGCATGAACCCTTCCTACCTAGAATCACTTAACCTTGTGTATGCTAATGTGTGGGTGTGAAGCTGTGACACAGACCAACAATTAGACTGCAGATCCAGACCTCGTGTGCTCAAAGAAAACTGCCTTTAACCACGACTAAGTGACCGACAAATCTGACAAATCCCATTTCAGAGCCGAGCGTCTTCCTCTTCCTCTCCATCAGTGACTCAGCTTTTATCACGATCACATGATCTTTCATCTTCAGCAGCTCCAAACATCCCCTGCTCTCTTTTGATAGGATGTGCTCTACTGTCTGTGTTTTTGCTGAGAACACCGCTGTGCTGTGTTCACCAGGACTTGTGCTTTTAATCAGATGTAGCTTCCAGCTCCCTCATTAGTATTCGCCGCACTCATCCTGCTGCACCGCTGGTCGCTCTCATTCCCTCTCGCAGCACTGTCTTCTTCACTGTAGGATATGATACATAATGCATGTACTCCAATGACTCCCCACTCGCTCCCTCTTTTCCTATTCTCTCTCTCTCCATCCTCTGGTCCAGGGAGAATAATGGGGTAAAGGACGAATTATTAACAGAAAGAGAGATATTCAAACTCGGCAAATCCAGCCTGCTGAGCTGACCTCCGCTTCATGAGCACCAACACTTCAGAAAATATAAAAATTACCTTTATGCAAATGTTGTTTATGTCAACACAAGTTCCTCTGTGATAACCTGCAGCAGGTGGAGTGATAAAACCAAGAGTGGGGACCAACAGCAAGTCTATGCAAACAGACCTCAACCTCAAACGTGGAGGCGTTAGCACGACGTAGAAGTCAAGTGCAAAAAAAGTTAGGACATTGCTTAATTACGGATTTGTTTGTTTGCAAATTCCCATATTTGAAAACAGAGAGTGGGGGACAACATAGAGTTAAAGACCCACTGCGATAAAAATCATGTTTTTCTTGATGTCAATATGTTCATTTTTCTGATGCTACAGGACATATCAGGAGAAAAATAAGTGCAAAATTGCATTTCTGAGTATTTCTACATTCAAATTGCTGAAAATCTCTGGCAGACCCAAACGGCATGTTCAGAAACAGTGAGATTTCCTACGTCACAAATACAAGCTCCGCCCCCGGATCACGGAACAAATGTATTTGTTAGCGGATCTCAATGCCGGTCGATCTACATGCCAACCCTCACCTATAGTCATGAACTTTGGGTAATGACCGAAAGAACAAGATCGCAGATACAAGCGGCTGAAACGGGTTTCCTTCACAGGGAGTCCGGGCTCAGCCTTAGAGATAGGGTAAGGAGCTCGGACACTCGGGAGGCGCTCAGAGTAGAACCGCTGCTCCTCCACGTCAAGAGGAGTCAGCTGAGGTGGCTCGGGCATCTAGTTAGGACGCCTTCTGGACGCCTCTCGTTAGAGGTGTTCCAGACATGTCCCACCGGGAGGAGACCTCATGGCCGGCCCAGGACTAGATGGAGGGATTATATCTCTCGCTTGGCCTGGGACCGCCTGGGAATCCCCCCGGAGGAGCAGGTGGAAGTGGCTGGGATGAGGGCCGTCTGGGCTTCCCTCCTGAAGCTGCTGCCCCCGTGACCCAGACCCGGATGAAGCGGAAGAAAACAAATGAACAAACTTTTATCATGTCCCCAAAGACATAAGTGTCCAAGAGCTGGATAGCTCCCATGTTATCCACCACTTCTACTACACTATGCAGAAGGCAAAACATTTGAAACTGACACAGGTAACATGACTTTGGCTAAAAACTTCATAATCACAATTTAAAGACCGCTGAGAACACTAAAGTGCAAACAAAAGCGATAGAAGTTGGATTTAAAGGCCTATGACTGGGACCTGAACCAGCAACCACTGCAACCACAAGTGTCCAAACTTCCAGGCCAGCCAGCGCCCCAATAAACCCTTATTTTTGATTATAAAAAGTTTAAAGGAGACATTTTGGAATTGGAAAAAGTTCTTATTTCTTTTTGCATGGTGCAGTTGAAACCTGCAGTTAAATAAACTTTTGAAGTACTTGTGAGCTCATGCGGTGATTCCCACTACAGAGTCGTGTCTGTTTTGAATGCCTGGAGATCGTCCAACTGCAATTGAAGTAACTGAAAGTTATTTGAAGTAAATCACAAAGCTGCTCTATAAAGTTTTTTTTTAAAACTTTTTAAAAACGTTTACATAATATTGAATAAGACCTCATTTACATAAAGTCTAAATTATCCTAAAAAGTGATCGGTCTCTCTCACAGGGGTTGGAAGTTTCCCGAACAAGAGTTGAATTTACAGATGTACTCTGCCCACACACATTTATCCGTATGGTGATGGTTCACTGGAATAAAAATACAGAATCTGGCACAGTTACTTCCTCACTCTGTTTTTTTTTATTGAACGAGCACAGCTGAGGGAACAATATGTGAGAGCTGATGGCTGCTGGATTTACTTTTGATTGACAGCTGCTTTAAATATATCCCAGATCCAAATATTGCTTGTTCCTCCACAGAAAATGGGAACTGTTGCAGAGAAACTAAAGCTCAGTATCTGCAGGTCTTCATTGAAACAGGATTTGTGTTTGAACCGACGAACAAATGTAAATCTGTCTAAAAAAACAAAAAAGAAAAGGAGATGAGGAAGTCATAGCGGATCATACAAGGCCTTAAAGTCATCCACACTGTGGTGAAGGAAGTGACCTTTGACTTACCATGACTTCACTATCTGTATCATAAAGACAGCTCATGCACCTTAATGGTATTTGCACTATGCGGTTTTTAAGCACCGAACTGGTCAATTTTCATTCAATTGAGCCGACTGAGACTGAAACTTCCTTCACAAATAGGAGGAACACCAGATTAAAAGCAGACTGTGGGACCTCTGGATGCAGACCTGGTTTACATTGCATTGATCTTGCGTCTTAACTTAACCAGAGAGGTTTTCTTTGTCACTATTATCTCTGTTTTTGTTTCCACGCCATAAACAAACCATCATCTTTTCAATAAGACTTGTGTATGAACATTGATTATACAGCTGGTCTTCCAGAGTCTCTGATCAATACTGGGTGTAACCGCATGTCCACCTTACTGTCTCCACACACCAAGCGCGAGTAAAATCTTTGGCGTGACTGAATTTCATGTTAAGTCGATGCAAAGATTGGACGCTCCTGCAACTCTGGCGGCACGAATGACTCGAATTGGGCGGAAGCTGAAAATGTCTCAACTTGAGAAGATAACTAATCAGCATGAAGGTTGCTGGGCGACGTATGAAAACGGATGGTTGTTCGTTACTATCTAAAATGGAGGACAAACTGATCATGTCGATGTGGGTGCCCCGGATTATAACCTTTTTTTTGAATTACCGAAACCTTGGAGGCAAGTGAGTAAGGAGGTCGGATTACCTGGCAAATTGTAAAAAAAAACTTTGTCTATCACTTGGTCCTGCTGGTTAAATTGGCAGGGATTACCGTTAAAATTACCGTTGATGTGTGAATGAAGCAAGTAAATACAATTTATTCACGTGTCTAGATTTGTGCGAACTAAGCGAGTAGATGATTTTACTCGCGCTTGGTGTGAGCGCCCCATTAGAGGTGGAAGTTTTCATCATTTTCAAAGCTTACCCTGTTAACAAGGTGGACTAATACTACACTATTTGACACTGATCCTAAAAGGGGGAACTAAGACTGCTGGAGTTTGAGATACAACATTTGTTTTTACTGTCTAATGTGCAGGCCTTTATATGAAACAGGCCTATATTCGAGACAAGCCTTTATTTTCAACTCAATCCAGCCAAAAGGTACAAAAAGGAATTAAAATGATTAATTTTCCATTAATCATAACTCCTTCTCTGTGCAGATTGGCCCAATTGCAAAAAAACAAAAACACAAACTGATAAGAGAGGCATTTGCTGATGACCTGGAGATAATAAACCCAAACATAAAAGTCTATTCATATGTTGACTCTGACATCTTGTATGCAGCCCCTCAGATTTGTAAACCCAGTCCAAGCCCCGAGCTTCCCTCTGCCTCTGTGTTTCTGTCTGTTTTTCCAGCCTTCACAGAGCTTCTCTTTAAATAAACCTCATCAATCTTCTGCAACAACAGAGTGTCCTCAGTCTTCAGAGACGGTCCACCTCATGCTCTGCTGCACCTCAGACACCACTCGGCTCAGGCCCGAGGTGAGGAATCAGCCGGCAAAACGTTTCTCTGACACATGACTGAGAGCATGTTTCAGGCCAAGAGACTTCAATTCCAAGCTGTAACCTGCAGAGTATAAAAGCTAATCTTCTGCTGCACAGGGTTACATCACAGCTCTCACTCTGGACGGAGCTTTGAGACTAAACTGAAATAGAAACAGCACTGTCTTTGATGCGAGAGCTAAAAGTAACCCACCCGTATAGTAACCTGTCTATCCTGTCTCTAGAAATCAAGACCTGAACCAGCTCTAACTAGGAAGCCTGCTCTTAAAGCTAGAGAGGGAGTCTGATTCCAGAGGAGAGGGGCCTGATAGCTGGGGGTCTGCATGTTAGGACCACACTCTCCTGGAACGGTAATAGAGCACTACGAGCTCTTTACGGTATGATGGTTCCTGAACATGAAGAGCTTTGTAAGTCAGAAGAGTTTTTAACTCACCCTTACATGCCAATGAAGAGATGTGCCATCTTCTCCTGGTTCTGGTCAGTACCCGGGCTGCAGCATTTTGGAGGACATCTTGTCAGGGCAGCCTGATAATAATTAAAACAATAATGATAATAATAATCATAATAAAAGTATAGGTAACGTGACAGCCATGATCCACATCCAGGATGGAAAAAAAAACACATGCATTCATATGTGCATGTATGTCTGCGCTGCACCACTCTGCTCTGTATTCTATCACTGTTATGCACACTTGTGATAGGGTGACCATATGTCCTCTTTTACCCCGACATGTCCTCTTTTGGGGGGCTGTCCAGCCAGTCCGGGGGGAGTTTATAAAATCCTTCAAATGTCCAGGGTTTTGTATGGAAGCCCGTTTCTGCCAGTGAGGAAAAAAAAGGAAAAAAAGATTAGATCTTTTTTTTTTCTTTCCTAATTTTTTTGGAAATTCAGAATATTGCGCACAACTCCACCCCGTATAGCTATAAGCTATAAAGTCCTGTTTTGACAGAACTTGACACTTTAGATTAGATTCAACTTTATTGTCACTGAAAACAGTACAGGTACAGGAACAACAAAATGCAGTTTAGCATCTAACCATTAGTACAAGGTAGTAAAGTGCAAGGAATGTACATATGGGCAGTGCAGGTATGAACTGAATATACTATATAGTGCAATGAATATGCTAAAAATATATGCACAAATATGAACAAAATATATATTTATTCACATGCACTTTGAATTATTGCACTGTAGTCAACAAAATTAACACTAAATCTGTCGTTGAGTATTTGCACATTGTATTTATTGGTGAACTCTCTGTTCTACATGTGTCTCTATCACCTGCCAAGGGACTACAGATGTAAATTAGCATCTTAGCTAACTCTGGTGTATTTATATTTGTATTGTTATACTTATGTTCACGAATGTGCAGTGTCCCCTCTCTAAATAAATACATTAAATGTTGCCTGGACAAGAGTCAGCTGGCTTTTGCACTCAAAGGTTTACATCAGTCATTGACGTGGTGAAGATGGTGCAGACAGATAAAACGTCTAATTCTTGTCATGATATTTTCTGTTTATTTAGTTTTTCCCTGGTTTTGTGATTTTGCCCTAATGTTCCTGTTCCCCTGTAGTCCTGTCTTGTGAGTTTTCATTTTTTCTTTGACCCTGTTTCCCTCCTGTTCTCAATGTTTCCTGTTTTATTTTGTAGGAGTTGAATCCTAGTTTCCACTCCTTCGTTAATCACCCATGAGTCTCACCTGTGTCTCTTCTGCCGCACCTCGTTTCCCAGTGTGTGTATAAAGTCCCTGTCTTCCCCTCTGTTCTGGTTGGTTCATTGTGAATGTCTGTTTGTTAAGTTGTGTGATGCCAGTGTCCCCAGTCTCTCCTTGTGATTTTTTCTCCCCGTGCCTTTTGCTGGATTTTGTCCTTTTGGATTTTTGGTTGGTCATTTTCTAGTAAGCATTTTTAGCTCTTTATTTAAGTTATTTTTTCATTAAATCATTTTTTGTTCTGCAATTCGTTTGTTTAACCCTGGACTGTGACACATTCATGGGCACTTCTCAGACAGACCCCTCCAACAAAGCTCCTTTTTGAAACGTACCCAGAACTGAATATCTCTGTCCCCGTTCGTCCTACATCCATTTATCCATTTGACATGCAGAGAAGAAGCTCTGAACGGTATTTGGATTTTAGTGCTGACCCGTGTTGGCTTTCTGAGAGCACATGAAGTCACAAACATTAACAGTCTACTTTGAGAAAATCAAAAATCAAGAGCAGCTCCATGCCGAGTTACTAAACGAGTGATTTAATGAGTTTGTGAACTATTATTTACATCTGCAAACATCAAACTCCTCTGATAACTGAAAGGCAATTAGGGTGTAAAATGAAAAGGCCTTTTATTTTTTAATGCCATAGTGACTCTCTGCAGCTTTCACAGAGCAGCGGTGGCACTAATGGAAGCTGCACGGCCCACTCACGGACACTCGCTATTTGAAAACGGCTTGTGTAATTCTCATTAGCATTCATTTCATGCGGGAAGGAAAGAGAGATAAAGAGAGCGAGGGAGAGGCAGGGAACATAAACAAAGAGCGAGCGAACAGGCAAATTGGAGGCAGAATGGTTTAGCAAATGAGCTGACAATGAGAGTTTCACCCATCAGCTGAACCGGGCCTCAGAGGGATCCTGCTGTCTGTGCGAAGAAAAGCATTCGCCGTAATAATAACGAGCAGCGCTGACGGAGAAACAGAGCGCGCTCAAACTGTTTCCACATGACCTGAAACTGCTTCAATTTAGAGACCGCTAACTCTGTCTGCAGAGGGAGCCGTGTTTCCAGGTTTTCATGAACACGCCGTGTCACCAGGGAGTCATGGCGTGTTAATATTGACTCTGAGTTTGATATATGAACTCCGTGTGTTGGAGTTGTGAAGTATTTAGCGATGCCTCAGACTTTTCTGTGAGGCCCCCTTTGGAGGATGGAAGATCTCCAGCTGACCGTCACGTTTAGAGCCTCAGGTAACGATCAATCGGCTCACCTGCTGGTTCTGGATCGCTAACCTCCGAGACCTCTCCTTGATGGTCCCAAATTTGGAGGCTCTACCGTTGGGTTTTTCTGGTCTTGATAAGCAAAGGTCAAACAGGAAGGTACACAAACTGAGATCAGCTTAATCTGGGCAGCCGAATGTTCACATGAGGTTCGAGAAGGGACTGATAAATGACTGCATGTTTATCAGTGTGGTTCGGGTTTTGATGGTCCACTTCAGAGGACTGGAAATGTCCTTACATCTGCAAAAACAGCCCAAGGTTTGAGTGTGTACAGTGTTTTTAAACAGATACACCTTGAAACTTAAATGGATTAGTCCGCCTCATTACGCCGTGCGCGTGCTCCACTTACGGAGATACATGTTTATCTTTGAAAAGGAGGAAGGTTACGGAGCTCGGGGTGAATTATCTTACCTGTGGCTCTGCGGCGGTATGATGATATTCAAGGTGAAGCCAAATTGAAATTCTAATGAATTAGTTTTACATGCCGCATTATGGTGGTTTCTGCACATAGATGGGTCAGGCGTGGGTTATCAAGATGATAAATCACACGGTACGAACACGCTCAAGGAGAGGGCAGAGCTGCCGTCCTCCGGGGAAAAGTACCAGACAGAAACTTTGCTTTTAAAAGCTCGCACCAGCCAATTTGATGCGCCGAATACTCAGCTGTGAACGCACCTCCAATGAAACACACACAACACCTACACCCCCAGAGGGACAGGAAGACACAACGAGATTGAATAAATGGATGAAACGGCGAAGGAGGAGAGACAGCCTGCTTTAGTTAACCTCCTGTTTGGTGGTGTTGAGACAGCAGCTCTTCTCTTCGAAGCAGAAAGCTCTACAAAGTGAAGACAGAGCAACAAATGTAATCAAGAACAATGTAGGAGTGATTTTAAAACCCATCACTGCGCGGAGCGACGCGGCATGGCGAGACGTGGCGGCTTCAGCTCCTCTGAGAGTTCTGGGAGTACACAGCAGCGAGTCGAAGCTGTCAGGATGAAGGTCAGGCATATTTTTACACAACAGTTAATGTCGGACAGGAAACCGTGTGCAGATCCAGCCGCCTTAAGAGTTTGTCCACTAGCTGAACAGATCCAAGCGTCTCTTAAAACAATATCATTTTTACAGACTTGATCTGAATAATATGAAAAGATAAAAACCCGAATCTGCTTCAGTCACTTCTTGGCTGAGCAACAACAGCCGGAATAAATCACTGCAGCGTCACACGACGGGAAACAAAATTCCAGCGAAGCAACTGTTTGTTAATGTGGTTCAGGGAAGTCTGAGAAAGAAGGAGGACTTAGTCTCTAACCCCACATTTCCACCGCATCCGGAACGGCTACAAAAAGGCAGTATCTGCCCATCACAGCTGATCGTAACCATTCAAGTTGATGTGTCAATTTCCACTGGCTTCTTTGTGGTCCTCTGCAGATCGTCAGAGTCTGCAGGCGATCGTAAAAGTTCTATTTTTTCCGGGCGCCGGAGCATGGCGGATAAATTCAGCACAGATTAACCCGTGCTGGAAAGGAAGTCGGGCACAGACACAAAATAAAACATCCGGCTTCTTTTCAAAATAAAACACTCCATGTTTCAGGAGAATCACATTTCACACTATGCAAATGGGCGGAGACGAACAAGTGAATTTCATTTCACCCCGATGACACCATGGATGAGGAGATGCTGGTTCAAGTAGATTTCCTTCTCTGAAAGGACACAAGCTACTGCTTATATGTCTATGTGGCTGTCTTTACAGAGACAACTCGTTATCACGCGATTGCATGTGACTCGCTGTCCGTAATCCGCCACTAAAATTCGCCTCGCAAACGCATCCAGTGGGAGCAGGCGGATGGCGAAAATCGCCGCCATTCCGGAATCGGAGCCTTTCCAGATGCAGTGGAAATTGGGGGTAAGAAGGACTGCCTGTTCTGGTCTCAAACAAAGTGCATGAACGCAGACGTGCAGGGATGAACTTTGACCCTAAAGCTACCAGAGATAAGAAGCAAACCCAGTGCACAAGAAACAACTTTAGCTCGGTGACAGTTTCAGAAAATTTATGAAGAATTACTTTAAGGTGGGAATTCAGACATCAATTTAAATAAATGAATCCATCCAGATCATCAAAAAGAGTTTTATTTTCTTTGACAAAATTAGAATAACAGTGTCCTGAAACTTCACACTGATCACAGTCTACGACTAAACCTGAGCGTTTAAAAGCAGAGAGATGAAATCCTCACTCAGCGTGGAGAAAGGCGCCTTTGAGAGGTAAACATGTCGAGGAATAAATGTTACCCTGCGGAAAACGAGGAGAAAATAATAATCAGAGTCAGTTTTTTTTTCTTAAATTGCCTTGGTATTGATTTTTTTAAAGAGTGTGTGTTTGTTCTCTTTGTGGTTTAAGCTTCAAATCAGGCACAGCAGCACGATCTCCTCCACAACAGCACTTACAAAGAGCTCATACTGAAGCTCGATGAGGCTCTTTCTCTCTCCAACAATTACGATTACATGCTTTTATATCAAAGCCGGACTGGGGTGCATTTTCAATTACAAACCGAAACACTAAAAAAAAACACAACAGGACTTTAGGTTCATCCTCCTCCTGTTCCTCGTGGATCACTCCACTCTTATACTCTGTTCTTATCTATCTGCAGTTAGCTGTCATCTCTCTATCTCATTTACAGAAAACCTGATCAGGCTGCATGACTCACATCTGGGACCTGTTAGTCCACATGAATCCATGACACTGACGGACCGGTAACATGACATCCAGCAGAAACAGACACAATAAAGAAAAACAGGCAAGGTGCTTTCAGTGACTCAGTTTGATGATTTTTATTGTTTTCACCCACAATCAGAGACTTGACCACAATCTGAGCTGAGTCAGAAACATAAAAACAGTCGGACTAATGAATGTGATTATTATTATTAGAGTGATTAAAAAGCTCATAACAACATGTAGATCTGTCCAAAGTCTGATTCTAGATGTCTTTACAAACACACTGATCCAACAGAAGCAGACAGAAATATCCATCGATCACATGAACACAAATATTCAGCAAACAGAGAAAGAAACAGATCATCTGAAGAGTTTTTGGGGACGACTGGAAAGACTTTAGACGCTTGGATTTGGGACAGGAAATAAGGTCGTCCTTTTTCTGTGATTTTGACCTCACTTTTTTCTAAAGTCTCAGACCTTCAACATCTGCACCAACTGAAGGTGATTTGAACAAACCATCATCTTGATGTTGTTGATATCAAACTTGATGAAGATTTTTCAACATGAGAAATACAAACAATCAAAGTTCTCCACAATCACTGTCCTTAAAGCTGCGACCAAATCAGCATCTTTAGAAAAGAATCAAAAAGCTGAAATGAAGAACTAAACCCAGAGTTTTTGGTGAGACTGATCCACAAACATTTACAAACCAGAACATTTCAAGAGTTCAAGGATCTCAGTCCATGATTTTGGTCTGATGGACTCAAAATTCTCTTTATTTCACTTCTATAAACTCAGCAGAGTCGCCAAAACCGTAGCCTAACCACAGTCCAGCATGTAGCGGTTCAGTGAATGTGGTCTGGACTCTGTGGAGGAGAGTCATGGTTTCAGAGACGCTGTAGAAGGACAGAATACCTGCTCTGTGATCCAGGTACACTCCTACGCTTGAGGACTGAGGACCTAATACAGTAGTGCTGCCTTTGTTGTGAATAAATCGATAACTGTCTTTATGACAGTCTAATGTCCAAGATGTGTCACTGAATCCAAATAAACAATCGTTTGAGTTCCCTGCTCTGCTGATAGTCTTGTATGCGACTGCTACAAAAACCCTGTTCCCTCTCCAGTCCACCTCCCAGTAACAATGTCCAGTCAGACTCTCTCTACTCAGGACCTGAAGATAATCAGTGAATCTGTCTGGATGATCAGGATAAGACTGTTCTTGTTCTGTCCATGTTGCTCTTCTGTTTCCATCAGATAATAACAACCATCTATGTGCTGTGTTTGGATCCAGTGTGATTCTTTGTGAATATCTTAAAAAATCAGCTCTGGTCTTGGGTTCTGCTGGTTCTGGTGGTTCTGACAGTAAAACATCCACATCAGTCACTGCCTGTGAGACGTTTGTCCACGTCTCTGTCAGAAGATCCTGGAGTTTATCACTGACCTCTGACACAGCTGCTGTCACCTCCTCAAAGTATCTCAGAGGACGGATGTTGATCCTGGATGAGTCTGCAGGTTGACCCGGTTCTGACAGTGAGGGGTAGCTGTGCAGAAACTGGTTGTGGTCCTCTGTGAGTGAGAGCTTCTGCAGATCAGCGTCTTTCCTCTTCAGCTCAGTGATCTCCTGCTCCAGTTTCTCCTGAAGCTCTTTGACTCGACTCACTTCACGTTCCTGCTGGGATCTGACCTGCTGCTCCACGTCAGAGTGGCGTTTCTCCATGAGACGGATCAGCTGGCTGAAGATCTCCTGGCTGTGCTCCACAGCTTTATCAGCAGAGCCGTTGATAGCCTCCACCTCCTGTTGGAGCAGCTTCACATCTTCTTCTCTGTCCTGGATTCTCTGCTGGATGTTTTCTCGACTCTCCTCCAGATCTTTCTGCCTCTCAGTCCTTTCTGCTGCAGCTGAGACTGTGTCGTGGCCTTGGTGTTGGTCCAAACAGCAGAGATGACAGATAGACTTCAGATCAGTGCGGCAGAAGATCTTCATCACCTCATCATGACGAGAGCAGATGTTCTCCTGGAGCTTCTTGGAGGGCTCCACCAGCTTGTGTTTCTTAAATGAAGGTGATTCAAAATGAGGCTGGAGGTGAATCTGGCAGTAAGAAACCAGACATTGAAGACAGGACATGACAGCTTTCATTTTTTTTTTCCTATTGCAGAAATCACAGGCCACATCTTCAGGTCCAGCCTCAGAGGGATCATCAGGAGCAGCTTGGAGTCCACTCTTCTTCACTTCCTCCACTAAACCTGCTAACTCTGTGTTTTTCATCAGGCCAGGCCTCCATCTGAAGGTCCGTCTGCACTGAGGACAGCTGTAGTTCCCCTTTTCAGCCTCAGTATCCCAGTAGGATTGAATACAGCTCATGCAGAAGCTGTGTCCACAGGAAACAGTCACCGGATCCTTCAGTAGATCCAAACAGATGGAACAAGAGAGAGACTCACGGTTCAGATGAACTCCTTTCTGCGCCATTTCAACACTCGCTGTCGACGACGACTGACTGAGTTTTATTTCCTCAGAAGTGAAACTAGTTCATGCTCTGATCTCAACGTGTGTCAACAGGATATCAGCTCAGCACACGCTGGCTACACCCGCCCTCAAACTTCAGATCTGAAGGGGAGGGAAACAGGAAGTGAAGAGAGCAGAGTGGAGTGTGCTGTGTGAGAGACAAGTCGCTGTCGACGACTGAGTTTTATTTCCTGGTCTGCGCTCTGATCCTGTGTCAGCTCAATATATGTTGGTTACACCCATCCTCAGACTGAACACCTGATCAGATCTGGGAGGGGAAATCCAGTTTTTCTACAATCCAGAAAGAGGAGCGGCAATGTGAACTTCAGACTCTCAAACTCCAACAAGCAGAGGTTATTAAAGCTGCAGCCGTCCTGAAGATCAACTGAACCAACATTTATTCACCTCATAGAAACCTCATGGATCACAGACACTTCCAAATAGTGTCACATTTCTGTGCATGTGTGTCTAATGAGGCAGTTTTGTATTTTGTTGCATGTTCTTGGGTGTCATGTAATATTTATGAATCCTCTAAAGTTATTTTTGCAGTTTCTCATGTTGTTTACTTTCCCTCAGAGGAATGTCAGCCAGGTGGTGCTTTGACCTGTTTAACCCTTCAAGAGAGGAGCGTTCAGTATATGTGTTTGTATTCAGTCTGTTTTAAGATGCTGTCATGTTGTGATCTGTTAAAGAAGATATGAAACTTAAAGTGCAGTTTAACTTAAAGCCAATCAGCAATCACACACATAGATATACTGATCGGATATTAAATACTCAGCCCTCCAAAAAAGGCTTGACAGGAAGCACACTCAAGGTACAACTAATGTTTTGTCCTTGGACTTCTTTCATCTTTTGACCACAAAGGTGACACAGGTCTTTTCTCTTTTTTCTCTTTTACCTCAATCTTGTTTTTGCTTACTGTCTTTTCAGCCTTTGTTATAACTGTATTCTTTTCTTATTTAACCTATTAGGCCTTTTATTGGTAGTTTTTTTCTTGCTCATTTTTGTTATTCTATTTTTTTATTACTATTTTGATCATTATTATTTTGTTATTTTATTATCATTTTTAATATCATCTTTTTATTACTATCCTGTTTTCTGCTTTTAACCCCCCTTTTTATTTCATTTCTTTTTCTTACCTATTTTAAGTGTTTATTCTGGTCCTCATGGTCTCACTTTATGTTGTGGGGTTCTTGTATTTTCTGGGTTCCTTATGACAAATAAAATTGGCCTTCAATTCAGAGGCCTTGTTTTAACTGAGCTTTTGTTTTTAGTTGTTTTTATTTCCATGCGCTGATGTTCTGTGCTGTTTGACTATTAGTCAAAGAACTTTGTAAACTTCTGTTTTTAAAAGTGCCGCAAAAATAACATTATTATTATAAACCTGAAATAATGGACCAAATATAACAGGTTACATATGATAATATTGATGAACTTCCAACTTTTAAGTAGCTATTTTTACTCTGTACGATACCTTTTACGTTAAATAAAACATAGATTTTTTAAAATATAAATCAGTCAAATGTCTTCAAATGAATTGAAGTAATAAACTGCAATAAACACAGTGAACCTAACTGGTTAACCACAGTATCACAGTACCAACAGTAGCAGCTTACATTACAAGCTAAACGCTAACAACAGCCAGCTAAGCTCTAGATAAGTATGCCAATAGAGTTAGCCTTGCATGCTAATCGGGAGCTAGCGATTGCTAACGGAAGCTAGCGGCGCTAACCAAATGCTAACCACGGACACTTAATCACACTCTCTAATTCAACATTCTCTTATTTCTCTCCAAGGACAATGAAATAAGCACCAACACGTTATAAATTCAGAGGCTACACATTGTTAGCAGGCGATTTCTTACCAATGGACTGTTAGCTTCTGCCAAACTCGGACACAACTGGCGTGATAAGTAACACCGGAAGTCCGCGGACTTTTCAAAATAAAATGCAGAGGTACAAAACTCTTAAATAAACGACTCAAAGTAACAAATAATGATTTAATAATGCTTGTCTTGACATATACATCTTATATCTCTTTCAATATTTTTATTCTTACTTAAAGAAAACCTGATCCAGCTGCAGGACCCACATCTGGGACCTGTAACACCTGTGAGTGACCACATCATGGAAATCCTACAGACCACATGAATCCATGACCCAGACAGACCGGTAACATGACATCCAGCAGAAACAGACCAAATAAAGAAAAACAGACGAGGTGATTTCAGTGACTCAGTTTGATGATTTTTATTGTTTTCACCCACAATCAGAGACTTGACCACAATCTGAGCTGAGTCAGAAACAGAAAAACAGTCGGACTAATGAATGTGATTATTATTATTAGAGTGATTAAAAAGCTCATAACAACATGTAGATCTGTCCAAAGTCTGATTCTAGATGCCTTTACAAACACACTGATCCAACAGAAGCAGACAGAAATATCCATCGATCACATGAACACAAATATTCAGCAAACAGAGAAAGAAACAGATCATCTGAAGAGTTTTTGGGGACGACTGGAAAGACTTTAGACGCTTGGATCTGGGACAGGAAATAAGGTCGTCCTTTTTCTGTGATTTTGACCTCACTTTTTTCTAAAGTCTCAGACCTTCAACATCTGCACCAACTGAAGGTGATTTGAACAAACCATCATCTTGATGTTGTTGATATCAAACTTGATGAAGATTTTTCAACATGAGAAATACAAACAATCAAAGTTCTCCACAATCACTGTCCTTAAAGCTGCGACCAAATCAGCATCTTTAGAAAAGAATCAAAAAGCTGAAATGAAGAACTAAACCCAGAGTTTTTGGTGAGACTGATCCACAAACATTTACAAACCAGAACATTTCAAGAGTTCAAGGATCTCAGTTCATGATTTTGGTCTGATGGACTCAAAATTCTGTTTATTTCACTTCTATAAACTCAGCAGAGTCTGAAGTGAAGAGTCCAGCATGTAGAGGTTCAGTGAATGTGGTTTGGACTCTGTGGAGGAGAGTCATGGTTTCAGAGATGCTGTAGAAGGACAGAATACCTGCTCTGTGATCCAGGTACACTCCTACTCTGGAGGACTGAGGAACTGGGATATCAGTGCGGACTTTGTTGTGAATAAATTTATACCTGTCTTTAGAACAGAATAACATCCAAGATTTGTCACTGAATCCAAATACACAATCCTGGGAGTCTCCTGCTCTCCTGATAGTCTTGTATGCGACTGCTACAAAAACCCCATCCCCTCTCCAGTCCACCTCCCAGTAACAACGTCCAGTCAGACTCTCTCTACTCAGGACCTGAAAATAATAAGTGAATCTGTCTGGATGATCAGGATAAGACTGTTCTTCTCCTGTCAATGTTGCTCTTCTGTTTCCATCAGATAATAACAGCCATTCGTTTGCTGTGTTTGGATCCAGTGTGATTCTTTGTGAATATCTTAAGAAACCAGCTCTGGTCTTGGGTTCTGCTGGTCCTGGTGGTTCTAACAGTAAAACATCCACTTCAGTCACTGCCTGTGAGACGTTTGTCCACGTCTCTGTCAGAAGATCCTGGAGTTTCTCTCTGAGCTCTGACACAGCTGCTGTCACCTCCTCAAAGTATCTCTGAGGACAGATGTTGATCCTGGATGAGTCTGCAGGTTGACCCGGTTCTGACAGTGAGGGGTAGCTGTGCAGAAACTGGTTGTGGTCCTCTGTGAGTGAGAGCTTCTGCAGATCAGCGTCTTTCCTCTTCAGCTCAGTGATCTCCTGCTCCAGCTTCTCCTGAAGCTCTTTGACTCGACTCACTTCACGTTCCTGCTGGGATCTGACCTGCTGCTTCACATCATAGCGGCACTTTTGCATGAGACGGATCAGCTGGCTGAAGATCTCCTGGCTGTGCTCCACAGCTTTATCAGCAGAGCCGTTGATAGCCTCCACCTCCTGTTGGAGCAGCTTCACATCTTCTTCTCTGTCCTGGATTCTCTGCTGGATGTTTTCTCGACTCTCCTCCAGATCTTTCTGCCTCTCAGTCCTTTCTGCTGCAGCTGAGACTGTGTCATGACCTTTGTGTTGGTCCAAAGAGCAGAGATAACAGATAGACTTCTGATCAGTGCGGCAGAAGATCTTCATCACCTCATCATCATGACGAGAGCAGATGTTCTCCTGGAGCTTCTTGGAGGGCTCCACCAGCTTGTGTTTCTTAAATGAAGGTGATTCAAAATGAGGCTGGAGGTGAATCTGGCAGTAAGAAACCAGACATTGAAGACAGGACTTGACAGATTTCAGTTTTTTTCTCCCACTGCAGAAATCACAGGCCACATCTTCAGGTCCAGCATCAGAGGAACCATCAGGAGCAGCTTGGAGTCCGCTCTTCTTTACTTCCTCCAATAAACCTGCTAACTCTGTGTTTTTCTTCAGGACAGGCCTCCGTTCGAATTTCCATCTGCACTGAGGACAGCTGTAGATCCCCTTTTCAACCTCAGTATCCCAGTAGGATTGAATACAGCTCATGCAGAAGCTGTGTCCACAGGAAACAGTCACCGGATCCTTCAGAAGATCCAAACAGATGGAACAAGAGAGAGACTCACGGTCCAGATGAACTCCTTTCTGCGCCATTTCAACACTCGCTGTCGACGACTGAGTGAGTTTTATTTCCTGGTCTGAGCTCTTATCCCGTGTCAACTCGTTTGATGTTAGTTACACCCATCCTCAGATTGTACACCTGATCACATCTGGGAGGAGAAATCCAGTTTTTCTACAATCCAGGAAGAGGAGCGTCTCTGTGAACTTCAGACTCTCAAACTCCAACAAGCAGAAGTTCTTAAAGCTGCAGCCGTCCTGAAGATCAACTGAACCAACATTTATTCACCTCATAGAAACCTCATGGATCACAGAAACACTTCCACTGTTTTATCCTGATATACACACATATTTAAATATACAACACATAAAGACACACACACTAGTGAACAGGTATAATACATGAAATAACTACTATAGCTGTAGTTATGATGATTGACAGCTGAGATCAGCTGACACCATGTGACGCTCTGGAGGAAATCGATCCTTCTCTTCATTTCCAAGACGCCGTGAGTTGAGGGATACATGGGTGCGGCTTTAGCAAGATGAGATTGAGTCGATGTTGCATTTCGGCGCACTTGTGTCAACACCTGGTGTGTTTTTGGATCTCCAGAGGACGACATGATCTGGGCTCAACACTGGCATCAATCCAGGTTCTGGATCAGATTTCACCTTCTATCTGTTCGGTTACGAATGAGCCTGAATCTTCTGCAGTTTGAGAACAGTCTCACAGGCTCTGGTTAAAGTTTCCTATAATCTGTTTATTTTCCACATTCATCTCATTACAATAATAACGTCTGGTCCAAATCCACCTTCTCTCTTTAAAGCTCGAGGTTCGGATTTTCAGTGTTTGAAATGCAGGTTTTCGTGACCGAGAGCTTTAGCTGCTTGCAGACTCGGCGGCTCACCACAGCACGGCAGAGGTTTGTATCTTTGAAAATGTTTCTACTTTGTGACTAAAGCGTCCCACTTTGCAAATCACTTCAGTCCCCCCTGCCACCCAGAGTCTCATTTTCTTGCCAAAAATCATTTTGTTGGAACAGGCGTCCCATTTTCAAACGCTGAATATCTCCTGGTGAAATGAAGCTTTTCAGGGGGGAAGATTTCGCTCGTTGTCGTGATTACACTTGAATATCAAACAGTTCGCTGCAGATATCTGATTACCGCTTCAAGATCCCCCTGACTGGAGAGGAGACCCTCGGCTTTTTACACCTGGGCGACAAAATAAAAGCCCCCCAAATAAATGGTGATGAAAACTAACTTATTCACAGACTCTTTCGTTCAGAGCAAACACTCCTTGGTATTCGAACATGACCTCATGTCAATGAACCCAATGAACGGAGACGCAGTCAACGAGGACTCAACAGAGGATTGGATTTGAGGAAAGCTGCAGGAGGTCAGAACCGGTCGTTCAGGAGCTTTCCCTGTTTTTGCGTCTTTTAGAGAGACAGCGGGAAAAGAGCTCAACAAAGTATGTTTCCACATCAGCACCAGCCAATCGAGTCCGCTTCACATGACGGGTCTCCTTTACTCTTTGGAGTGGTGAAGCCTTTTCTGTTACTGCTGCGAGGGCTTCGAGGTCATGATTGGTTCACCTGACCCAAGGAGAAAAAAACTTTAGGATTTCGTTATGTCCGTGTTTTCAAAGAAACGTTTGATGAAAGGATAAAAAACACTTCTTTTATCGACCCTAGCTATGTAAACGTCCACGTTTGCTTGATGACAATGTTCGGGTTGTCTTCTTGTATAGGTTGTATGTTTTCCTTGTGGGTGGAGCTTTCGTCATTCTTCATTGACCATCTATGGAGTGTCTGTATACACATCGTACATGGTCAACTCAGCAGGGTGCATTAGCATCAGTCATACACAGTCATGTCTTTCTTTGTAGTTACTAAACGATGCTTGTTCACATCAATTTCAGGGGAATAAAACGTCTTTGGATCTTCTGAATACTCTTCATTGTGGTGCCGGATTAAAGCGTCATCACGGACATAGGAACCGGGCTCTGGTTTCGGGCGGTTGTCGTTAAGTGTCCTGACAGAATCCAAGCGACGGTCTTGTCGCCTGGGTTGCCTTTTTCAGGTTCGGCGTCACTAAAAACCTCATCATTTTCAGGGTTAGTTTGGTTCAAGGCGAGGTAAGTTTGAGTCTGCGGTTCCTGGAGGGTGGTCTCAAATAGTCCGACCATCAGAACTTGGTGTCAAGGACAGCGGCAACCATCCGTAATATCACGAGAGTTTCTCCTCCGATGGCGGCAGTGGATCCGCCAGCAGAGCCGTTCCGGATCCAGTGAAATTCTCGGGTCAGGGTCTCCATCCTGTCATAGAAGGGCTCATCTCTGCCTGCGTTTTTGGCCTGCTCCTCGCTGAAGGTGTGGAGACCCTCCAGGGCCCTGGTTACAGACCTCTCCGGTGTCATGTTCCTGGGGTTTAAAAGTTCAACAGGTGGAGCCAAACATGTGACAGACACCACCGTTCAGTAACTCTTTAACTCACAAGACCCTCGAGACTTCACAAGCCCAAAAACTGTTGTTTGTTAACTGCTTGATGGACCCGGTTATCGATTCTGGTCCTCTACAGTCGAGGTTTTCCTCACATGAAACCTCCAACGTACGAAGAACACACAACACTACATGCTTCAAACTGCCATAGACAAAAAAAGTCAACACTGTTGGGTTATTCATTAATGACGGAAGAGCATCTTATTTGTTAAATTACGGTCCTCACACACCTCATTAGCTCAACATATGCCCAGTCGTATAGAGTTCATTAATCTCGTGTAACATCATTAAAATCTTCCAGGTCAAAAATTTCACTCAGATCAGGACCTTCAAGCACGATAATCAGTCCACGTCTGACCGCGCAGAGCAACACGGACGTGATTAACCATCATCTGCAAAATTAAAATGGAAGACCGCGATCCGGGATCCAGACCTTTCTTTCCTCCAGATACAGATGTTTGGTTTTTGTGTGTATGTGTGCAGAGGACAGTAGACCAGAACAAGATCACATGAACTGCAGTTTGGTCGATTTATAACCTGATACATAATACATGCACCGTGGTAAATGTGACTCTTAGCGAGCCTTAGAAGACCACAGCCGTGGAGAAGAGGACCCATGGGAGAGCTGACCTCAGACCGTGATGTGGTTTTTATCACTTTCTTTTGCAGAGCCTGTAGTTCTGTCGGATGACTATAATATTACACCGTAGAGTACAACTGTGATCTAAATGAGGTTCAATCAGAGACCTATAAAAGGATATAAGAGCTGAGAGTGGGAGGAAATGTCGGAGATTAAAAAGAACACGACAACATACCAGGATAACTTTGCACCTGAAATCTGAAAGTTCGTCAATGTGAACTTCCAAGAATATTGTAACCTTTCCTCTACCGATATCCTGCCCATTTATGTTACATCAAACAGAGGGGTTTAAGTTAACAAACAAAATGAAAAGCAGTGGCCCCAATACAGAACCCTGTGGTACGCCATATTTGAGGAGTTTATATTCCTGTTAAACCAATAAAAGAAGTTTTATCGATAATAGAAAACAGTCTGTAAAGCTAACACACAACAAATAACAATTTCATTTTAACAGAAGGCTGCCACGAGGACCTGGACTAGGACCCTCTTTCTACCTCGTTACAGATGCTAAAGGTCTCCTGGGAAATCGACATCATGTACCAAAACAATCTCAAAACTACTTTAACAGTAGACTAACACCCAATTTACACCGCATCTGGAGCGGCTCCGCTACAGAATGGCGGTGATTTCCACCATCCGCTAATTCCTACCAGATCCAGTTGTGAGGCGAATTTTGTGGCGGATTTCAGACAGTAGGAATCGGGAGAACTCACAAGAACCCGCAGATTCACAGGCAATCGTGCGATAATGAGTTGTCTCTTTAAGGACAGCCACATAGACATATAAGCAGTAGATTGTGTCCTTCCAGAGGAGGAAATCTACTTCTAGACTTCTAGAATCAGCATCTCCTCATCCATGGTGTCATCGGGGTGAAATGTGCAAACATGGACTCCCATGTTTGCACATAGTCTAAAAGTTCCAGTCGGACTCAGACAGTGAACAGATTCTTTGAACATGTAAATGCAGCTGACATAAAAGTGCTGCACAGCCGCATGAAAACTGCACATTGCTGACTCTTCTGAATGAGTCACCGCTGATCACTGACTCTAAAACATTTCTACTACTTTAAGACGAGCAGGTGCAGCTTAAGGATAAGTATATATTCGAATTTCCTCTCCTCTCTCCTTTTCTCATCCTATTTTAAAACACATTCACTCTTTTCAAATGATAATTTACACTTTCTTTAACCCCGCCGCCATCTTCCCTCCATCTTTGCCCCTTTTCCCTCTCCGCTCCTTTCTTTGCTGTCTCTGTGTGTCTGCAGCAGACGCGGTGATTCGCCCACCGACGGATGTTGACACAGTCTGATGGTTTGAACAGAAGGAAGTGTCTCAGAGGCAAAAGTCAAACTCCCTGTCTCAGCAGAAAAACGCGACGACTCTGATAAGAAGAGAAAAAGAGACAAGAGG